TGCACGAGTACGGATTTCCGGATAAACTGACGCGATTGATCAAGGCGATGATGGATCGAGTGATGTGCGTTGTTCGAGTATCGAGGACACTCTCGAGTCCATTTGAATCTCGAAGGGGGTTACGGCAGGGTAATGGACTTTCGTGTCTGCTATTCAACATCGCGTTAGAAGGTGTGATCAGAAGAGCTGGGATAGACACGAGTGGCGCGATCTTCATGTAGTCCATCCAGGTTCTTGGCTTCGCCGATGACATTGACATTATGGCACGGAACTTTGAGGTAAATCTGACTGAAGGCTGAACCTAGGCGGATTGGACTTGCCATCAACGCATCAAAGACAAAATACATGAAAGGAAGAGGTTCTAGGGAAGACAATGTTAGCATCCCACCCCGAGTTCAGATTGACGGTGACGAAATCGAGGTGGTCGATGAGTTTGTGTATTTGGACTCACTAATGACCGCCGAAAATGATACCAGCAGAGAAATTCAAAGTCGAATTATGGCACGAAGTTGAGTGTCTACAAGACGCTGATTAGACCGGTGGTCCTCTACGGCCACGAGACCTGGACTATGCTCGTGTACGTGGTGGTTTCAAACGGAAGGTGTTGCGTACCATCAACGGGGGGGTGCAGATGGATGATCGGAACGTGGAGGAGGCGAATGAACCACGAATTGCACCAGTCACTGGGAGAACCATCCATCATCCACATTGCAAAAAATGGGTGACTACGGTGGGCTGGGCACGCCGTAAGAATGCCGCACGACGACCCAGTGAAAATGGTTCTCTAAAAGTGACCCAACAGGAACAAGAAGAAGAAGCGCGCAGCGGGCAAGGTGGATCGACCAAGTAGAAGGTGACCTGCGGATCCTTCGCAGACTACGACTTCTTCGGACAGCAGAGGACAACAAGACTTTAGCCTGCTTGGTAAGGTAAGGTAAGGGTAGATTATACCCTAATTTGGATAGTTTTGAAATAGCGTGTACCAGATTTATTTCTGACAGACCAAGAATCAATTAAAAAAAAAAAACCTGCTTAAATACAACTTAATCATAATGTTTTATAATGCTGATGTAGACATCAAAATCAAACGTTGGGCTAATGTTAATTTTTATTCGGGACCTTTTCGCAACAGAGAGATTCTCGAGCATTGTAATTTATTTTAAAAAATGTCAAATTTTAGTGAAAATTCACCAAATAGACCACAGCCTTAGTATAGTTTTGATAAAATAAAATGATCAAATCAATATAAACACCTCTATAAACACCGACATGAATGACCATAGAAATTAACCACTTCATTCGAGCAATTAAAATGACGTTTACTACCACTCGAACTTTGAATTGTTTTGAGATTTTTTTTTCTTCTAGAATCACGAGGAAAGTAGCCCGAGAAGTAGCCATCATTTGTGAGTTTCATAAAAAATAGAAATTAATTCTCGATGAACATTTCAAATGGTCCTATCTGCTTTGATCGATTCTCTTCATCGACTTTCTCTTTCGTCAATAACTCAGCTGCAAAACCTTTCCCTGTTGTATTTGACATTTTGGACGCTAGATAAGAAGCTCCTTTATCAAACTATGTGGTAAAATTAACGCGAAATCTGTTTGCATAGCAGTGGTTATGAAAAGAGAAAGTCGATGAAGAGAATCGATCAAAGCAGATAGGACCATTTGAAATGTTCATCGAGAATTGGTCCAGTTTTGTGGAATGGCTGGTAGAAAGTCACGCCAAAACTGCTTGACAAAGTGGTCAATTACCATATCTGTTCAAAGCATACCACTGACATCTGTCTTTGTGTTCGCGAAGAAACGTTTATCTCAGCACGAACACGCGTGCAATATTTATGAGTTGGTTCGTGGCTGATCTATTCTCGATGAACATTTCAAATGGTCCTATCTGCTTTGATCGATTCTCTTCATCGACTTTCTCTTTTCATAACCACTGCTATGCAAACAGATTTCGCGTTAATTTTACCACATAGTTTGATAAAGGAGGTTCTTATCTAGCGTCCAAAATGTCAAATACAACAGGGAAAGGTTTTGCAGCTGAGTTATTGACGAAAGAGAAAGTCGATGAAGAGAATCGATCAAAGCAGATAGGACCATTTGAAATGTTCATCGAGTATTGTGGACAAACTATTTTTATCTAGATACAAAATACTGTGGTTTTGACAGATCGCATCGTTGCACTGGTTCTTTGTATTGCGTGCCCTTCGAGACAGCCTATATTACATGATATAAGCCATAGTTTGTAGTTGTTGAATATTACATCCAAACTGCTGCAACCAGGTCAATCCATCGGTTGTGTAATATAACGTTGTACGATGTACACCCGCATAAACACGAACCATAAATTGACCTTACCTAAAATGGTTAAAAATTGTTTATAATCCCTGCTAAACTTTAACTGAAATAGTTATGGAACTTTACATGAACGTTTAATGATAAAGTTTCAACCTTATGTATTATGGTTTTTTGGAACTGGACCTTACAAATAATGGGTTGTTAAGAACCATTACCATTCCAAATTCTTGTTTTCTCCATACATTTTCAGAAAGAGAACTATATAAGAACGTTTTTACTTATGATTTGAGAACATTAATGGTAATGGTTATGGTAGTCAGTAAGGTCCATTAATGGTTTTGTATTATCGCTCAACTTTACGTGGAATATATCGTGAATTGGTAATCAGTAAATTACAGGCAACCAATTCGCGATATATTCCACATAAAGTTGATCGATGTTACAAAACCATTCGTAGACCTTACTGACTACCATAACCATTACCATTAAAGTTCTCAAACCATAAGTTAAAAGGTTCTCATATAGTTCTCTTTCCGAAAATGTATGGAGAAAACAAGAATTTGGAACGGTAATGGTTCTTAACAACCCATTATTTGTAAGGTCCAGTTCTAAAAAACCATAATACATAAGGTTGAAACTTTATCATTAAACGTTCATGTAAAGTTCCATAACCATTTCAGTTAAAGTTTAGCAGGGATTATAAACAATTTTTAACCATTTTAGGTAAGGTCAATTTATGGTTCGCGTTTATGCGGGCATCGATTTTGCGAACAAAATTACATCCATTGATGTAATATTGTATCTGCTTTTTGCTATTACATCATTATTTCATACATGTTTGAATTACGTTGATCTATATTACATTTTTTTTGCTGTGTATAAGCATAAAATGATTAAATTTTAATCTTTTATTGTTAGTAATATTTTTGAGTGCACCGTCATACAGTGTATCTATATTTACTCAAATGTTGAGGCTTTTGTAGTAGCGTGTCAACAGTACGTGGCTGTCAAATGACTGCACGCTATTTCAAAACTTTCCAAATTTGGGTAGAATTCACCCAGATCTGTCAAAACTGAACCTACCCAAAAATGGGTAAACTGTGTTGGTAGTGACAAGTTGACAAATGAACAACGTCGATCTGATTGATGTCAATGTTGTTCATTTGTCAACTTGTCACTTCCAACGCAGTTTACCCATTTTTGGGTAGGTTCAGTTTTGACGGATCTGGGTGGATTGTACCCAAATTTGGGTGGTTTTGAAATAGCGTGTAGTCAACTTGACAAAGAATAATTCTGGGGAAACATGTCAGAAGGGTCTAACTCGAAACGTAAACAATGACTTGGATCGTCGATTTCTTACGAATGAGAACACACCCACTCAAACTAATTAAATCATCTGACAGAAAAATGTTTTTTTTTTTTTATGAGCTGCTGTAGTAATATTCCGTGAGTGTGTGGTCATTCAAGAGAAATCGACGGTCAAAGTCATTGTTTACGTTTCGAGTTGTACCCTTCTGACATATTTCCCCTGAATTTGCAGTGTCGTTTTTCCCTAAGAAAAAGAGGAGACAACTGGCTTCTTTTTGTCTGTGACGTGTTCTTCTTCTCTCGCGGAAACGACCGTTCAAAAACTATTTCACTATTGGCGTCTTGCAGTGAAACTTTTCCATGCTTTCGCCACCTACATTTCGAAGTGAGAACTACTAGAAGGAGGATAGTTTCCAAATTCTTCAAGTAAAACAGACGATTTTTGGGGCAAATCGGTACATAAAGAAAAACTAATAATTTCCCGTGGAAACTTTTGCTTGAATCGTGTAAGAAAATGTATTTGCAAACTAACTGTTATTATTTCGGTATGGATCGGAGATGTTTTCATGGAAAATTATGCATAACAAGTTTGCACCCACAGGGAGAGGTTACCTCCTGCGCAGCGGCATTTTTCGGAAAATGGTGAATATGTGCGATTTCCACTAGGATGAAAGTGGAAATTAAGTGAATTTACTTAGGAAAGGTTGTATCATGCTGATGGTAATGGAGATTGGTTGTATAGGACGCCAATATTCAATAAATGTTCATTTTGGCCTTTTGTTAGCAAACATATTGATGCTCACAATTTTCGACGGAAAACGCAACGGAACTTGCTTTACTCAACACGCACCATACTATAAAATGGTGCTAGATGGTCTTCAAAGTGATAACAAGATGACAAATCATCTCTATTTTGAGTAATTAAGCAATTTACTTCTGTTTACATCATATTTACGATGCAGCATTGTTAGAGCCGTGAAATGAAATGAATATATCTTATGAAAGTTCAACTGGAAAAGTCAAAGTTGCACATCAGTCTGATCGTAAAAACGTTTTCTTCTGCAATTCGAATGTTATATTGGAAGAATTTTACACAGGCGTGATGAAAATTATGATTTAACGCTAATTTTCACGAATTTTATATGCAGTCTGTCAACATTATCATCATCATGCAGTGGCGACATCTGCGTTGAGCTTTTACGGCAATCTTACGGGCGACGCAGTCGACTGTCAAAATACAAAAAAGTAGATTCCCTGTGGTAAAAATTCTCGCGTTTCTATACTTTCGCCTGACCAATCAGGCGCTGGTTCGCGTTTGACAGAAAATTGGTTCAAAAAAGTCCCCCTATTGTCTCCTCTTACTCTTAGGTTTTTCCCGTTTTTCGGCTTCTACGGATGCCGGCGTAGATTTCCACTGTTGTGAACAAATTACTTGTGTATAAAATTCATCGAACTAATTTCAGAAATAAATTTTCCCTGTTAAAACGCATTTACTACGACTGCTGACCAGCTATACTAAAGGTAAACGAGAGGGATCCTCAAGTTCGCATTGGAATTTTGGATCGCTAAAATTTTTTTGGTACTTATTTTTAGCAACAGCAATGACGGTGATAACGCTTATCTCGTCCAACAAATGCTTTGGCGGACAGCAGAAAATCTACTCGCACAAGTCCAAGGAGTTGGACTGCGAGATGAAGTTTGCCATCTTCCTGCCGGCAGCAGCCGACGAAGGCAAGCTTCCGGTGGTGTACTGGCTCAGCGGACTCACTTGCAACGAGACCAACTTTATCCAAAAAGCCGGTGCCCAACGATACGCCTCGGACCACGAATTGATTGTGGTCTGTCCGGATACGTCCCCGCGGGGAGTCAACCTACCCGGTGAGGATGATTCGTGGGATTTCGGCAGCGGTGCCGGCTTCTACGTGGACGCCACCAAAGATCCGTGGAGCAAGCACTATAAGATGTTTAGCTACGTGACCCAGGAACTGATCGATGTGATCAACAATAACTTTCCGACCATTCCGGACAAACAGAGCATCATGGGTCACAGTATGGGTGGCCATGGAGCTTTGGTTTGTGCCTTGAAGAATCCTGGGCTATACAAATCTGTTTCTGCCTTTGCACCGATTAGCAATCCGACCAAGTGCCCCTGGGGACAGAAGGCCTTTGGCGGATACTTTGGCGAAGACAATAAGGATGAATGGAAAAATTGGGACGCCTCGGAACTGGTGACCGGATACAACGGGCCTCCGTTGGAGTTGTTCGTTGATCAGGGATCGGAAGACAGCTTTCTGAAGGATGGTCAGCTGTTGCCCAACAATTTGGTTGACGCCTGCAAGGCAGCTCAGTTCCCTTGCGTGCTGCACATGAGAGAGGGATACGATCACAGCTATTTCTATATTGCGAGCTTCATCGGGGAGCACCTAGCTTATCATGGCAGACACTTGAAGTAAGTTTAGGATGATGAATGGATCAAGAGGTTTTGGGGGAAAACCAGTATGGAATAATTAAATGGTCCCACTGAAAAGCCTTGATCCGTTGAATGCATTTTTGAATATTTTCGTTTAATGAAGCATCCGATAAGGACATACCTTCTGGCAGATTATAAAGTGGATCATTTTATTTTGTATGTAATCTAGTGTCACTTTTTTATAGAATCCGAAATGAAATAGGTTCTTTTGAAATGGAAAGATTTTTAGTTTGCATCCCAGAATAATAATTTATTAGCTTCGTTTAACATCAAACTCTAGCTCGGCTCAACAAACAATAATTTTAATCATACTCGGATCATTTCTTCGGCGGCCCCCTCCACTCGTGCCAAAAGCCGATGAAGTGTTCCCTCAAGGGCCACATGCGTTGACTACCATAGTACGCCCAGAACATCCCAAACAGTGCTCCTCCTAAATGAGCTGCGTGGTCAAAAACTCTCCAGCCCAACAGCACTCCTGCCAGATCGAATCCCATGATCACTTTGAATGCCTGGAATTTCCAAAATACAATAAATGAACAAAAATGTTTACTACAAAGCTACCAACCGCTCCCGCCGAAAAGGTGAACATCGGCAAAAATACGATGCTCAGCTGGGTGTCCGGATACTGACAGCAGACGTACCCTAGAACGCCCATGATTGCACCGGACGCTCCTAGCGAAAGTCCCGGCTGACGCACCACCGTTTTGAACAGATGGCTGGCAAACGAAGCAATGACCCCCGCGCTCAGGTACATTCCCAGAAACTGTTCCTTTCCCAGCGTGGCCACCGCGGCATGACTGAAACTATGCAACACATACATATTGGCCGCAATGTGGAACAGCGAATAGTGACTGAATGTAGACAGGAACATTGGCCAGCAGACTGCCTCTACAAATCGAAACCGCAAAATGAACAATCTTTATGAATCTGTCTTCAAAAACCTCATTCAACTCACTTGCAGCCGGATTCGACGCGAAAAACCTCACCATCAGCGGTTGCAACTGGGGCACCCTCCACAGCCCATACACAAGCACATTCAAAGCGCAAATCGGTGCAAATATCCGCTCGCCCGGGGACAACCGATCCCACCATCCAGTAACTTCCTTTCGCCACTGTTCCACCTCCCGGCGGTTATTTTTCATCCGGTCCCGAAACCAATTCAAGTTTAGCTTCGCCCGCAGCGCATCCATCGCACGGGATCGGACCGTTTCGTACTCCCATATTGTTACACCGATGAAACTTCCGGCACTGAAGGCCACCGTGAATACAAACGACTTCCACAGCTTCGACGGATCAATGTATCCAGAATCGATCGCAATGCCTTGGATTTCCGTTGGAACAATGGTCTGCTTGGGGGCAAACGATTCTCCACGAGCGTTTCGCGTCTGTCGACTGTACCGGAGGATATTGGTGCGGTGGGTTAAGCGGGCCGAGCTCAGCAACTGCCGCTGACAGAAGCTAACTGGTGCAGAGCTAAAACAAAATTACGAATTTTGATTTTGATCAGCAAACATGTTCCGGAAACTTACCTCACTAGGGCAGGAATTTCCCGACAATTTAGAAGCAGGCGAAGAGCCATTGTTCGACTTGATTATTGTCTAAACCACAAGTTATTTTATAATGCACTTTAACGTAGCATTTCTAGTTAAATTAAGTGAAAATAGAAGTTCCTATTCATGTTATTACACAAGAATTACTAATGTTTACGTGCTAGGTTTCGTACAATGAAGCGGCTTCGTCGAGCTGTCAAAATGCTCGTGCGAGCAGTGTTGCCACATTTCCCATCTATATTTTGAGCTGCGGCTATCTTTATTTATTTTTCAGCTTAAAAATCTGTAGATATTTCCAAAAATCTAATTAAATCTGTTTATTTTTTTACAAAATCTGTAATCTGTTTACAGATTTCCTTATCGAAAATTGTCTAAAAGTCTAAACGTTACAGTAAATTATGTATATCTGGCATCACTGCGAGTGAGTGCGAACGAAGCGAGGTGTCGATCAGCTGCTGTGCGGAATAAAAATACTATGAAGTCAGGGGATAAGAAACCGATAACAAACTTGAGGAAACACTCTACACTCAAAAATATAACTAAACATTGATAGATTATAATTTATCCATTTTATGGTTATGCTACATTTATATATACACTGTAACATGCAAGTACCCATTAATGGGTATAAAAGTACCCATTATAAGTAAGTATATGAAGCTGTCAAATAATGGGTAATTGAATATTTTTGAAAATGGGGTCTTTTGTACCCATCTTTTTGACCTCTTCGGGGAAGAAAAATGAGTATTATTTTACCCATTATTGGGTGAAAATTATCTTAATCAATAGTGAATATTGTCTAACACAAAGCATATTACGAGGGCTTAAAAATTGATTTTCTATGCCATCTATGCCTAGTAAAATGAGTATTGAAATGTAAGTATTTATTTGAAATATATCTAGGTGGTGTACATTATGAAATTCAGATAAAATTTAATGATTTTTATTGTTAATTTCAGATCCACAAGGAAGTGGCCGTGAACAAAGTGTTCCAGGAAGGGATGACATGAAGAAACGTCCGACAAAAGCAACACATTGCACAGCAGGGACAGTGGATGCCAAGTTATTATTATCGAAATAAATAAAAAACAAGTTATTAATGCTAATGTTTCCGCCATTTCAATGAAATATGCGAAAAATCAAATTAAAATTAATTTCTAAATAGCTCAATTATCGAAAATGTTTACTTTTTACCCATTTTCTAAATCTTTTCATTTCTGAAAATGGGTAAAAAGTACCCGATGAATTGACGTACAAGCTCTTTACCCATTATTGGGTAAAGACGTTTTACCCATTTTATGAGTTTACCTAGTTTACTTCGAAATGGGTACTTTTTCACCCATTAATGGGTACTTGCCAGTCACAGTGTAGCTCCGATTAAAATTTCTCTTTAAAATTATACCAACTCCGAATAACAGTGTAAAATTCGTTCAGTGTATTGACTTTTCTGACGTTGCCGTTCCCGTTTTTCCCGAGGAGCTCCAGGCTAAACTGTACCAGTTGAAGCAAGAAGAGTAGCCACGGGGTGATCCGAGGGGTGATCGTCATGCATCCTGCCGGCGGATAATTGCCGAATTTGAATTTGGATGGATTTCTTCGCCAGTTAGTCGTCTGTCACTTCGTTTGTGCTTCTAGTCTTAGAGTTACCTCTATGGTATTAGCATAGAGGTAACTCTAAGACTAGTAGGTCCTGACTATACTAGAATGGGGTACGTGAATCGATTTGCATGGGACCAATAGGCTAGTCAAGTAGTGAGCCAGTTTAAAATCGTTAGTTTCGTATTGATTGTTGATTGTATCGAGCATAAAGATCTTAGTGATATCTAAGGCACCTAAAAATACTTAAGAAATATCTAGTGTTAGTTTATTTTCTTGGTTGCTATACCAATTTACATTTGCTTGTTTATAAAATGTCAGGTGTTTTTGTGAATATTGGTCAGTTTGTTAAGAAACTAACATTTATTTGGTTTATTTTATTAAGAGCGTGCACAACTAGGTGTTTCGAATTATTTCCAGTGTAATCATGTGTAACGTACCAGAAGGAACTAGTTCTAAAAGACATTGGAACCTTTTGTTGTTGTTCGTTAGATTTAAGTTTTATCATTCGCATAGTGAATTTTGTGCTTTCTGGAAGCCATTCGAGATGAAGTTATTGTCGCCATCATTTCCGGAACTGCAACTAGCGCTAGAATTGCAACTAATGCACGATGGACTTACTTTATGAGTCCGAAGTGGATCTGCCATCACTGCTGTACGAGCCACCGGATGAGGTGTTCTGTCGGCGTTTGGTGGATTTCAGCTTACGAATGTCAACTGTGGCTGGAACATCAGCTCACGCAGAAAAAACTATCGTCAAAACAAAAATATTTGAGGTAAATTTAAACGTAAACTCAGTTCTGGCCACAAAAATAAATTAGGTTGATTTCAAACGTATTCCATGTTTGAAGTCATGTGAAATCAATGTTTAAAATAAAAATAATGTTACGTTTATTTTAAAAATATTCGTGCTGAAAAAAAACGTAATTGCCGGGGGGGGGGGCTCTACTCTATCTAAAATGCAGGAAATTTTTTGCTTGGCTGTTGTGAGATTCACTCGCGCTTAATAGATAGAAACACGATTGATTATGATTTTGAAGATTTCCTGCAAAAAGGTGGAGAGCGATGCGAGTAGATGGGTTTAGATGCAAGAGATGAAAAAAGATTTTTCGTAGATTGATTCGCTAGTGTGAGATTTTTCGACCATTTAAAATCGAGATTTAGATGTGTCGCACCCCTCGCGTATTTGTTTTTGTTTGGTTTGACAGCTATGCGAACAATCATAAATATGTTTATTTTAAACATGCTTCTCATGTTTAAAATACACATACATATTTTGGAATTATTTTAGTAGTTGAGTGCAGGGTAAAGCAAAATGAAACGGTTTGCAAAGAAATGAAAAAAAAGATCTTCGGGCAGGGCATCTTAATTCCTGCTCTTTTTCGGGTGCGATTAAGGGTGACGTGTGGGTATTGGGGTCCTGGTCCGGGATGCGAGGACCCGTCGGGGTGGGTGTCCGGGGGTTCCAGTTCAGTGGAACCGGTGAAAATTTGTGTTATTAGCACTGTTTTGCCGTTTCTGCCTCGGTTTCTGCCACTGGTCCTCATACCAGTTTCTTTCCATGTTCGATATCGGAGGAGGATCCGGAATGGATTCGGAATGGATGGCCGTTTTCTGGTAGGTTGAGCAAAGCTGGGGCAACTTTTTCCGAATGTAACAAGAAGGAAATAAAAAGGCATGACACGCTAAAAACCGTTTACCCAAATCCTATATTGTAGAAATAAACATGCTTTTGAATTTAATTCAAACATAAATATTTTAGTTTTAAACATGCTTTCAATTCACTTTGAATAATTCATATGTTTAGAGAATAAACATTTATATTTTTGTTTTAAATGAACAAAATTCGTATCCGTGCTCGTCGTGGCTGAAGGAATCTTCGATAATTATGCTTGATTCCTGTTGGCTCGACTGCCAACGTGATGTTTGACTTGAATCTAAAACGGCTGCTCGTTGGGCCTTGCCAACAGATGACGACAAATTCCAGCTGCACCAGCTGCGAGCCGACATCGCTTACTCGGAATCGGTAGTTCTTAAAAGAACACCGCGAAAGTAAAACTCTTTTTAGAGCAGCGACGGCAACAAGCAACGGTGGGAACAGCAACTCTCCATTTCGGAAGTAGAGGGAACAGGAACTCCACTGAGCAGGACCACCGACAAAACTAGGACGGTAACAGGGGCCCCTTGCATCGATATCGAATCGACGGGAAAACTGGAATTTTCTTTCTTGGATAGGATAACTTCAGCTTCTTCACTTTATCTCTATATTGCTTGGCAATTCGGAAACGACTGACAATGTGAATGCGTGATTCGCTTGGTTTTATACTTTTTTGAATCAAAGAGAAATTAAATGACGATGATGATTGGTCTAACAATCTACTACGCAAAACGGAATGAACGTGTACAATGTCATAAAAGCTAGATTCTTATTGGATGTTTACACTTATTTCTGTTCTTATTGCTAGTGTTAGTAAGGGAAGCCGTTTGCCCGCGGCGTTCTCGGGGTTAGTAAAACAAAATGCAAGGAAGGGAAAAAAGGATAAGGAAATATTTCTGCTGTGCTGATTTCTGCGGCCAACATCGGAAACGTGGAGTGGTTAGCGGTGGCGGTGTAATCGATACACGGCAGTGGTACCAATCTATTCGCTGTTGCGAACATCCTCCCCGGCGCAAAGAGATGGGTTGCCAGAAGTCGTAGATTGATCAGCGATGTGTTGTTTATCTAACGGTAAAACAGATATTTTTGTTATTGAGCGCCGAAAACTCGAATCTCCTACCTTAACGTCAACAACACGCACCAAACCGTCTTCCCCAGGATATGTGTGGACTATTTTTCCCAACTTCCACTGCTGTGGTGGCAGATTTTTCTCTTCAACCAAAACGACGGTGCCGGGGGCGACATTCTCTAGACGAATCCGATTTTTCCCTCTAGGCTGTAAGTTTACGAGATAGTCATGAGCCCATGACTTCCAAAAATGTTCCCTCATCTGTTGTAGGTGTTGCCACCTTGACAAACGATTTTCGTTCAAACCTTCATAAGAAGGCTCAGGGACAGCGGTCAATGGCCTTCCAATGAGGAAATGTGCAGGAGTTATAACTTCACCCTCAGTTGGGTCATCAGAATGCGAAAACAGCGGTCGGGAATTAAGAATGGCCTCAATTTGTGTGAGCAATGTGTAAAACTCCTCAAAAGTCAAAGGTGTTTGCTTCAGAATACGCTTAAGGTGGTATTTCGTACTTTTGACTGCAGCTTCCCACAAACCACCAAATTCCGGAGCTTCTGGGGGAATAAAATGCCAAACAATCTCTTTAGTTCGGCAGAAGGCTTCAATATCGTGGACAGCAATGTGGTCACGGAATAAGAGGAAAAGGTCATGTAGTTCTGCCTGGGCACCCCGGAAATTGCTACCATTATCCGAGTGTAGCTCTCGAATCAAACCTCTTCGACTTACAAACCGCTGCAGAGCAGCAATAAAGGCAACAGACGTCATATCAGACACGAGTTCGAGATGGATAGATTTCGTCACCA